AACTCTTTACTGTGACAACTAAGCCGCAATCTTCTTCTCTAAACATGATAGGATATGGAAAGGATCCAAGCATATGGACCTTAAATATCTATCATTGAAACAAGATGTTAAAAGAGAAAAGTTTGTCATTGAACACATAGGCACTGAAGTTATGGTCACAAATATATATATTTACGAAAGCATTACCTCCAAAGACCTTTCAAAGGCATGCAGAATGTATGGATCTTGAGGATAGCTCTTAATGTAATATCAGTTAATGATTAGCCTATTTTGACATCTCTTTTGAGCTCTTGTATGACTTTTACATCTTTATTTATGTATATTCTGTTAACTAATGTGCACACTCATGATTGATGATAAATTTATGATAACAGAACACAGTTTTATTTAAAACATTAAAGGGACCATTAAGATAACTCCTACTTATGTTAAAGGTCTAACTATGAAGGTAGTCAATGTAGTAGTACATGGAAGGAATCATGTTGCGAAATGATGTGCGACTGCCATGACTCCCATTGATTACTCGAGTAGCCAAGACACTAATGATAAAAACTTTAATGGATTATACTAACGATCAAGTGGGAGAATGTTAGAAATATATTTCCGTTCAAGAATATATTTCTGTTCCTATTATGTGGTCTTATAGTCATCCATTTTCTATCGAAAAAAATGTTTTCTCTAATATATTTGGTGACCAATAAAATCGGTCGACACTTGGTGACCATCGCGACACTTGGCGACGAACGGATGACACTTAGCATCCATCAAAGGACACATGTCATCCATTAGAGGACAAGTGTCTCTAAGCATCACCACTTGTCACACATACATTCATCTCTAATATGATGAATGGTTGAGATTGATCTGACTTTGATAGACAGTTGTGATCAATCCGAAATCCTAATGAGGAAGGGGTCATCTCTCCACCAATAAATAGATGCGTCACTCCATCTTGATGGCACACTTAGAGAAAAACACAACATCTTAAAGAAATCTTAGGGGCAAGGGGAGAGAAAGCCTCATATCCTATCCAACGATCTAGCTTTCGTCTTTTGTTCGTATAACCGATCAAAAGACTTCACCGTCAAGATGAATGGAGGTATTCCGCTAACCCTCTTCATGATTTATTATGTGATTATTTAGATGTTTTGAAGATCTTAAGTTTCATATAGTTTTGCTTTCATGCATGTATATAATCTCACATGCATGTTGATTATAATAACACATTACCCTTAAACTTACCAAGAGGAGGAGGTTCCCAATTGATGTGCATCTGCAGCGATACACCAGAATGTGGAAGCAGACTCGTGCTCAAAGAGAGCCATTCTTCACCATCCGTTGTTGCCTTATCCACAATTTGAGAAGCATCCACACTAATGTTTGAGAAACACAAGTTGTTCCAAGCCTTCCAAATTCTTCGAACCATCCAAAGGATTTCAACCTCTTTTGCTCCTCTTTACTAGCTCTAGATTTTCTAAGTAGTCCATTTGCCATGTTAACAAATACAAAATTAGAGGAAACATGATAAAACAGGTGCCTGGAGATAGAGCCCAAACCATCCTAGCATACATATAATGAAATAAGACATGATTCATTGTTTCTTCTTAATCTCCACATCTAGGGCACTCCTTTACTCTACTCTCTTTTTAGTCATATTCACTACTACAACTATTTTGTTTATAAGACACCTCCACAAGAAATTATGTAACTTAGGGCTAGTCTTCATCTCCCAAACAGTTTTAATAGAGCGTTAAAACTTGGTTCAAGGATCTAAGCTCTTTTGGAGGGAGATTCTACCCTATGTAGCCAAACCCAATATACGGAATAAATCGGATATTCCCCATTCTGATTAAAAATCCAAGAGAAGCCATTCTCTGCTCTCTACCAAATGGTTTAACATTTCCATTCAATATCATCTATGTGACTATTGGTTTGTATACCAACGATCGATCCATATATATGTTATAGATTATAAATTTGTTTTCAAATGTCTTAAGATTCTAATACTTTTTGTACTTCAGTTTCTATTTTTCAGCCAACCGGTTTAAAAATCTCTAAGATGTTGAAAAATGCAAGGACGTATTGTGAGGAGTCGAAAATATCCGTATCAAATGTATGTTTTACTCTATTCTTGAGTCTATTGTAGTTATTAAGTTTTTCGGTAATTTTATAATATGTTTATGATATTATCGATTTTTATGAATAAAATTTGTGAATTTAGCTTCGAAACAAATATAAGAAAGCATGCATGAATCATGAGAAGATTTTGCAAAACTCGATGTGGATCAAAATTTTACTGAAGGCAAGATTAGGCGTTTAGAAGTATCTTATACGGAATGGGAGAATCTTGGGTTTGACAGGATCGCCTCAATACCCAATGTTATTTGTTTTCTTAATTATGGGAATCTATACTATAATAAAGGGCCAACACTCTCCAGAGATGATCACGTGGCTTGGCCTATTTGATCGACACATGGTACTTCAAAACTTGAAAAAAAAAACTCTTCATCTCTGGACTCTTCCACTTCGTTTTCTCAGACAAGTTCTCCTCAACAACAAAGCTTTAGCTGATTCCGGATTGGAGGGTTCTCTTCCTCAATCTATTACTTTTTTGCTTGTTATTGTCGAGGGTTCAATGATCTTCAGAGATTCCCAAATTGGAGGCCATTTTATTTCTAGAGTTCTAGTGATTTACCCCAAATGTTATCGATTTCCTTATTTAATTTGAAAACCTTGTTAAGTCGAGAGCAAATGTAAATTCGTAGAGTAAGAATGTACACTTGTACCAACCATCGAACTCTACGTATCACCGGAAATAATAAAAGGGATTGTCTCTCACATTCAATCTATAAATGGGAAACCAACTCTCATGCTTTCCAATCTACCTTTCCTAAGTTCATCCATGATGTATGTAGGTTTCAAATACAACAAACGTAGATAAATTTACAATTTCGTAAATCATATGCTTGATATGATATTGCTGGATGAGTCACTAACTAATTCTATGAAGCTTCAAGATAAAGGTGTCAAAGAAAAGTGTAACACCTAACTCCCTAAACTAACCTAACTTGGTTGAGAAGGCAAATAATTCATTTAATACTACTTCCTCAAATTAAGTATATATTACTTTTAAAAATATTCAACCATTTATTACTTAAAATCCACGTCTCAATTCCACCAACGTAAACCGTTTAAACTAAATACCAAAATAAGCATTAAATCATTTGAAAAAAAATTAAAACTGTTTTAACTAAAACCAAAATAAATATCAAGTATGACATCCCCAAAAACCAGCACCCGAACAATCCTCGCCTTGAACCACTACCTAAGGAAATAAGGAAACGGAGACTTGATCTGGAATCCTTGTAATGTCACCTTTCCAACGGTACCAAAATCGTGTTCTAAATCCTTCTGTAACAGTGTAGACCTTCCTCCAAAGTTATCTCTGTGAAACCCGAGAACAGAATCTTGTCAGACATCTAGGGCAAACTTAAATCGTAGATTGCTGGTTCATCTTACCTTGGAATCCAAATCGGAAAAGAGTCACGGAATCTACAAAGAATCCTCTATCCAACGGTATGTAGATCGTCGCCTAAATCCTCACGGTTCGCCGGAAAATCACCCCGCAAGTGCTCTGGTCGGATTTGAGACTAAGAATTTCATATTCAGAAAACTGTGATTTTTTCTGATATTCAAATATGATTTGCGAACTTGTCTTACCTCGGAATCGGGATCTGAAACATGCTGTGGAAACTTGCGATAGAGATCTATCTAGACGTATGTGGAACGTCATCTAAAACTCTACGGTTCGTTTGGAAAACGTCCCGCAAAGTCACTGCTTGCAACAGCCTTCGTTGGCTCCTCCTTTCCCTGGTCTTTCCGGTCACCGGAGCTCATGACTCACACACTCAACAGCGGCGGCGGCGGCTAGGTCACGAGTGAGAAAGGGCAGAGATTCGCTGCAAG